GGAGTTGAAAAAATAGTAAAGTATACAGTAGAGACAAATATATGAAACAAAAGGTAATGCATCAAACAATGCATTAGTGCATTTAAACCACCCCAGCACACCATTTATTGCTTAATTGTACAGAGGAAGAGTAAGTATGTTACAATTTTTTTTTTTTGTAATCTAATTAGGCGAAAAAATATTTACATAAAAAATTATTAATTTTAGTACGTGCTAAATGGATTAAACAGTCCATTTTAAAAATAAAATAATGATTTTAATTGTTAATCAATTTAATTTTTATCTAATACTTCATAATGTTCCAAAATATAAGATGTTTTAAATAAAAATACTTATATTAAAATTTAACTTAATAGCTTTTTATTATATATATAAAATTATAAAACGATACTTCAATGCAATAAAATGGAGATAATAGTTAAGATTGTCACGAATTCTTTTTAAAATGGTCTTTTAGAAAAATACAATTAATTCGAAAAACTATTGACCGATAATTTTTATTAGTGGCAATTTTCGTTTTTTAAAACAATATATACCATTAAATAATAATTAATCAAACCAAATTTTCTTTAAAATGTTATCTACAAATAATTAATTTAAAATTTAAAAGAATTATACTATCTAACGTCTATCTCAAACGACGGTTCCAGTGCCAGCTAAAAAAGTTTGTTTGATTAATGACCAAATGGATGTTTCGAAAATAACAATTAAACTCGATAACTTTGAATTACTTTCCTTAGTGCTGCTAGTTTTATTCAAAAATGTAAAACATTGAGATGTTTATAACTTTAAGATTCACAAGTCACGGAAAATAAATACAATATATGGTATACATTTTTCAAATTAATTCATCGAACATAAGCTTTCCAGTCATTAAAAAAAAGGTGTAAGTTTTCATGTTCCTCCAATATTTTACCACTACAAATTATTACTTATGCTGTTTGTGAGTGTAAAAGATTGTGAACACCATTAACTTTAATATTGCGGTTAAATTACAAAATTAATTAAAATTATCATACTAAGAAAAATAGATCCTGGAATTAAAAAAAAAAACTAATTTATGTCAGTCATAAAAAATTAAAACACTAATAATATAACACAATTAGTTTGTATAGTTTTAGTTAATCGACATAATTTACTTTATTTAAACTAAATATCTATACATCCATCCTTATTATTTTAAAATACAACTGATGCATTTTGTATGATGAGAAATAGTACAAAGTTAACAAATAGTACGATCACTATTCGACTATTCGTTTTATTTAAAGTTTTCTAAAAAATTAACGAGGTTATAGTCAATATAGGTTTCAGCCGATGTTTATTAGTTTGCGAATGAATTTGGCCAGTCTTAGTGGTTTGTGTATAAAGTTACATAGCTCTATATATAGTTCATGTAGAGATTGTAACATGCCATGTCATGTCTATATTAGAAATATACAGAAGAATATCTTTACAAAGTAAGATTTAAGTGTTAAAATGACATTTATTAAAAATGGATATAGCAATAACTAGAATTTTATACAAGAGGCCAATAACTAAAATACAGACCTCATAGAGAAAAGCAGAGACATAGAGCTGTTAATAACTTAAGAGGCTCGTGTATTAAATGCTTCGTATTTAAGACGACAATCAAATTTAAAATGAATTACAGACTGAAAATCTTAGTGATGATTAATGGCTAGGTTTGATTGGAAGCCAAATATTGGATGATTTGTAAAAGAACTCTTTAATTTTTTTAGGTTGCCTCACAATATTATCAGATATGAAAGCCGGAAATATGTTTTTTCAATGGAAATATATGTTGCTTTATTTATACTCCATATCAAAGGCTAATTCAGACTGTAATCCGACTAATCTTCTAAATGAGTATAGACGTTGACTATCCTATTCACTAAATATAATCAATTTAAAATAGAACATCAGAACAAATGGAAACTTTTTTGGATGGAAATCGAATCCGTGGTGGAGCAAAATTGACACCATGTTTTAAAATCTTTTACCAATATGTTGTTTTAAGATAATTTTCTTACTCTCAACTGAAGCATACTACATAACAAATGTCAAATACTACCATTGACCTTCCATCCTAAAATCTAATACCTCAGCATCAGTTATTTCCCATGTGAAGCTATTAAATGAAATTTAATGGTAGCTTTTAAATGATACTGGTTGTTTTCTTATTATCTTAATCTCATATTCTCATTCATTACGAATCTGAAGAGTGAAGGGAATAACCTTTTTCTTTCTTTAACTATGTTTCAAGCAATTCAAATAAATCGCTATTAATCAAATTAAGTGATATAAGAAGATCGAATTTGATTATACAAGAGCGATAATAAAATATTTCTTGAGCGAGCATGAGATATGCAGTACATATTTTTATTTGTATCTGATTATGAAACTTACATATGAGTCACAAGAGTTTGTAATCATAATTCATACAATTAACGAAAAATCATAACAAAACGTTATTCGATCTTAATAAGTTTTCTCTGGCTAACCTTTTACGAGTTTCGATTTTTACTTTGTTCTTACTTAATCTTTGATTTCACAACAAAAATATTTAGATTGCTTCATTGATTCTGCAAGAGGACCGACGTCTATAATTGTCTTGTTCTGGTTTGGTGATTTCTTGTTCCATTATTATCCAAACGATTTCTTTGGACTTTTTATTCCACTTTATACGGAAATAAATATATAAGGATAAGTGATATACCGCATTATCCGTTTTCAATTGAAGCATTCACTTGTTCAAAATCATCTCTTCTTCGTCAACTTGATTCCCTTCATTCAATAATTTGTTTGAAACTTTTGAAATAATAATGTTTTTTTTTTTTGTAACAATAGACATGCAACGTCAACTATAATAAGATAGTCTCTCCCTGTTATAGAGTATAATATTGAACTATAACAATAAATACTACTAACATTTGCAGCTTGGTTAGGGTTGGAGTCTTTGGAGGAGTTCTATATGACTTATTCCATAAACTCTGGTTTTTTTTCTTTCATATATTGCTTTTAAAATAATCGACTTAACGGTAAGACTTGCGACTGCATCATGGACATAATTGTTTTTATTATAAAATTAAACTCATGAAAATATTAAAACCGTGTACCTTCTCTCCACGCTACAAAAAAGAATGAATTGTATCACTTAAATCATATCACAAAACTGAGTGATACTATTTTAAATTACTTATTTATAAATAAGAAAAATATACATGATTTAGTATCAATTATAATATAATTAATGTTGATAATAACCAATTTCACATCACTTTAATAAAATTGATAAAATTATATTAGTTTGTATCACTTTGACAAAATTGATACTAGAAAAATGAATTAACATCAACTAGATAATCGATGCTTTTAATAGTTTTTGTTAACAATATTTATAAAAATGATACAAAATATTGTATCAATTAAAAATGATGCTAGCTAGTAATTTTTTTACGAAAATACTATATTACATCACTTAAGTACTATCACAAAACTAAATGATGTTATTTAGATATGTAAATCTAAATCTCTAAAATGTATCTTCTGTTGGTTGACAAAAAAAAGTGTATCTTTTGTTAGCACAAAAAAAGTACTTCAAACATTTCCACACTTCAAAAATTAGAACAATTTTTTTCTATAATATCAATTTTAAAATACGTACGTAAGCAGAGCATGCTTTTTGTAATAAATAAAGTTATGTTTTTTCGGATTTTATTATGGACTAGTTAATTAGCTAGATAAGAAAACATTAGGAAAATGACAAAAAAACGTTAAGATTCCTTTACAAAACAATAAGGGGTTTAGTTTAGTTTTTTATCATTGTCCTAATTTATTTTTAATTCTTTGCTATACAACTTAATTTCTCTTATTTAGGAATTTTTATTTACCTACCTTTTAATTAAAAAAAAAAGATAATACAGTAGTATAATATACTAGAATAGGATCCGCGTTAATACGCGGATAAACACATTAAATAATATTAATATCAAAATTTAAGTTTTAATCAGTAATCCGTTTAATTACAAAAATATCTTGAAATATTTAAACATAGATCTCAAACTATTAAAGTTTAATTTATATCTTAATTATCATGTCTTAATTCATATTACGCAGGCCAAGAAATATATAGACATAAATAGAATTCAAATCATATTCTTAATAGCAAAAACAAATATTCTTACACATTATAAATTTATATTAACTATCAGATAAAATCTTATAAAATTAAAATATTATAGAGTTAAATTATAAAACAATAAATTTATGTGAATAATCTCATAAAATCTTATAAATTTCAAAAAATGCCACTTTTCAATTGTCACTTTACAAAAATGCCATACTTTTGAAATCTTTACAAAAATGCCATTTTTTAAAAATTATTTTTTCTTTATATTATTCATGTTTGGGTTAATTATATTCTATTAGAGTTTAGTTACGAGGGTTTAGGGGGGATTTATGGGTCAAACATTTTCTAGTGTTTAGAATTTTAAGATATAGGGTTTAAAAATCTATAATTAGTGGTATTTTTGCAAATGTGCGCATAAAAGTGGCATTTTTGCAATTATTTTTTATCAAACATTATATATAAATCTATGATTGATAAATGTCGTTGATGTCATTGTTTATTTTTCATAGAGATCTATACTCGTCAAATCTTACACTTTTGGATCTTAATAGTAAATA